CACTCTTCAACCTGTTCTACTTCTGACAGCATTCTCTAAGTTGTGTTTTCAACAGTTGGTAATCGATGTATATATTCCAGCCACATATATATAAATATATTTTTTCATTGAAATATTTTTTCTCAGCACAGTTAAAAGAGAGACTTAATTATATCCATGTTTCCTAAAGCAAAGGCATATAGACACTGTGGGTGGCTCTTGAAACCCTTCCCTCCCTCTTCTTGTGGTGGTCCCTAAGTATCTGGCAGCAGGAACAGCTCACATATATGGCTACAAATGCTGAGTCTGAAAATCATATATTCTCTGTGTTCCCACGGCACAAAGCTCAGTTACGGATGTCACCATAGACAAGCAATCACCACAATTACCATGCAGCTTCCAGTTGAAAAGTCATTGGAAGAGAGAAAACCATAGAGGAAAAAGGGAAAAAAAAAGTTCAACAGCTGGAGAAAAACAGAAATAAATAGAAGCTCATATTGATTGTGTTGCACTGACAAAAAGATGCAGCTAATGTCACCGATGCATTAATTCACTAAAGAGGAGGGTTAAAAAAAAACAGTCTTGGAAAAATATCTAAATTACTTTTCAAAAACAAGAGTGAAAAAGGCTGAAAACAACTTGCTTCACCAATATCTATTATGCCTTTAAACAAATCTTTGATGAGACATTACTTTTTTTTTCCTTTGTTCAGAAAAAACAAGTAGATCTAAACTTTGATAACACTGAATAAAGTCTGAAAATCCAGAGGAAAAGATTTTGCCATCATTTTCTAAGACGCCTTTGATAATGTATTATATTTTCTTACAACATGATTTTAATACCTTGACTGGAATAAATATAAATGATAGATTAAGACAAAACATATAAGTTTACAAGAACAAAATTTAGAATATACTAAAAAAGTTCCAAGAGGACAATTTTTAATATAATGAAATTCAAACAGTCTTGACCACAAGCTGTTTTGCCTCCAGAAACTGTTTCATCAAGATTTTCCTGTGGAAAGAGACTATATTATCATCATTTTATAGATCACACAGAAGTCAAAGAGACATTATTGCCAGAAGTATCCATTTTTTTGGAGGGTGGGAGAGAAGAAGAGTAATGAGAGGCCTAGAACTTGACTTCAGACAGTGCCAGGTGTTTGCACACTCAAAGCCCCAGAGTTCTCACTCATTCTAAGTACAAGCAAGCAGGCTGTTCAAATGAATGCTCACATTGATCACTGGATTTTTCTGGTGCTCCTCTCTGTAACATGGGTGGTTTTGTACCACTCAGCTTGCCTAGTATCACACATGAATGAACTCCCTATGGGAGAAAGAACTGAACTGAGTTCCCAAAGGCAGTATTCAGCTGCCTAAATTATAACATTTCCTGAAGTACATTCACTCCCCATCCATCATTTCAACAATCAGGACAATGATTTTTCACTACACAGCCCTGACACTAAACCATGCCCAGCCTGTGCAGGAAGACAAAAGTCTCACAGAAAACAAAGGGAGATGAGAGGTAGAGAGTGATTATAAGCTGTATAATGATCAGTGTGCACATGTATGGACATTAAGATCGTACAGGCAGTCTACAACTCTGACACCTCCTAAATTTCAAGTATTCAACTTCAAATGGATACAACTACTTTAGAAGAAAAACATTTATGCAGTTTCCCAGGTTTCCAAAAAATGCTTGCAAATTAAAATTCTCATATGCCCATAAAATAGTTAGAAACACTCAGCTCTACAATCTTCTTCACATTTTGAACTGATGGAGCATCTATTGACAGTGGAAGCTTGTTAAATTCTCAGTGAATCAGCATCAGAGAGAAAATGAGTTGACTGAGTGGGTTTCACGGAGACTTCAGTAGCACAGATGTGCCAAGGTTCTGTAGTCTCAGGAATCTAGTCCACTTGCTGGAAAAGGGAGAAGTATGTCCTCATTATGGCTGCTAACATTGCTAATATAGGCAAAACTCAAAAGTGGCACTATGCAGTCTGGTGAGTTAGTGGGGTTTTTTTAATCACGCAAAGCTGTATTAGAGCATGAACACTTAATACGGTACAAATTACATTTGAACAGTGAATGAGATGAGTGGACTAAGCCAAGCAAGAGAATAATCAAAGTTCACTTATTGGCTAAGTTGAATCATCAGCGAGCAGAGTATGATGAACTAAAGCAGTCAAGTCTAAACCAGTGCTGCCCTTCACACGTCCTAAGTGCACTGACCTTACCTGTGCATGTTCCTCAGCAGTAAGAATCACTGCTGTCATGGGCATCTATCTTTTCAGGTCATTTTCCATAAGTCTGATCCTTTCTCTCTCATCCTTCCATTTTTCCCTAGCTCTGCTTCTTCCTGATCTATCTCCTAGGTCTTTTTTTCTTTCTATGTTGCCATGCTTAATTTTCTGCTCTGTATTCCTGTCTGGAGTGCAGTCTACTTGTACAGCAAACCCTGAATAAATTTTCCCCAGTCCCTTACCTGACTATCTCCAGCTCCACCTGACCACCTATTCACCTGCATCTTCTCGTTCTGCTAGTGCAAATTGCCCTTCTTTTCAACTTCTGATTCAATTTGGTTCTCCAAACGGGTCTCTAGACCATCCAAACCACTTCACCAGCAAGACTTCCACTCCCATTCTTTCACAGATGCCTTGTACAATCTCAGTGTATGATCCACATGCAATATGCTTCTTTTTCTCCCTGTCCTTCTACCATCTCCTATCCCACTGACTCTGTCCAGGTGTTCATAGTTATTATGTCAGTTTCTGGCTTTTGCCCCAATCTCTTTCATCCTGCCACACTGTTTATAGTCGCTCTCCCCATCACAGTTAATGACTCCCAGATCTGTCATTTTCTTCCAAATTACTTGTTCAGTCAGTCTGCCTCCCCCTTCACTGGCTCTACGTATCGGTCTACCCCCACATCTCTCAAGAGTTCACATTATTTTCTGCATTTAGCTTAAACAGCTTTCCTTCTGTTAACGACCAGAAGAGGAGAACATTCAGAATATAAGAGGAGCAACTGAACAACACAACATTACAAAGCTGCATTCCAGGAGAAATTCAGCTGAATCCTAAATGGCTCACACCCATGTAAAGGATCAAATTTATTAAACTCTAAGTTTGCAAGTTGCTCAGTAGAATCTTAAGGATCAAAACTAGGCCAAATTTAAGCAGATTTATACAGGAATAGACAAGTATATTGCAATAAAAGGAAACTCTTCTGCCAAATTTCAAATTGCTCCTCCTAAAGGTACAGATAGTACCTATTTTAGTTTCTTTTGTTCCGAGTAATCAACATTTTTTTGCCCCCCATTGAGTAAACAGTATAGGGTGGGTTTTTTTTAGCCTTTAACAAAAATGAAGCAAGCAGTTAGCATAACACATGTCTATTCTATTATTAAAGGTTGCTGCATTTGTTGACATTTGAAAAGAAGGCCTACTAATGGGAAGCATCAGCTCACTGGTACTCGGATAAAATTACATTCCATTCACGCTTTTAGTAAAAGGCAGTAACTAGTACATTCCACATCTGCAGCTTTAGCAAATTCAGATAAAAATTATCATCCATTATATCCTGGAATAACTTTTGCATAGATGCTTTCTGAGTTTATTTCATTTAATTTGTGCTCTTGACTGCCTTCCAAGTCAAAATGCATCCTTATTCTTACTCTTTTTCTTAAATTAACTTTGTACCTTTTCGCTAGTGTCTTTAGGATCCTCACACTTAAGTACTTAAAGATGGTTAAATTTGCTTGTGCTAACATTCAAGTGTCTATTTGTATCTTGCTTTATCTTTTGGACAGTTAGTTGAAAGCATTACCTCAAATTATGCTCTAAAATTTATAGTAGCTTTAGGAAAAATGGACACATGGCTAGCAACATTCCATATTTTTCTTACCTTTTGTTATTTTTGGAAATTGTTTCCATGTGTTAACAAGTATTAAACAGGGGAAGAAAAAACAACTTTGAGATTTCAGTCAATTTCTATGATCACCACACTTAAAAAAAACCCCATGATGACTGTTTGACTTTGAATTACATGACTTCTGTGTAAAACATCTTATAGATTTTTACACTGATTTCAAATTTAGTGCTTTACTGTCTAAAGGTGCTGATAGTACATCAGTAAACTCTGTGCCAAGATCTCCTCTAGAATATCAGACATTTCTCAAAACAAATTGTGATGTATTGACTAAAAAAAAGTTACCCATTTAAGAGTACTGGTAAAACAACAGCAAGAACCAGGTGAAAAACATTTCACATTAAACAGTTTTGATCTTAATTTGCAGGGTACATAACTTTTACATTTGTCCCACCTAAAAAGTGTATCAGAGTTCCAAGGCTAAAATAATATCCATAAATGCTTTCTGAATTTTTCTGAGTAAGTGCTGATCAACAAATGCTATTGTATGAAACGATATAATGCTACATGAACTATTAATTGGTATCTTGCCACACAATACTACTTAGCAACCATACATAAACTATTACATACTTATAACAATCTCTTTCTTTTCTGGTACATTTTTAAAGGTTGGGCTTCAACAGGGAAAAAAGTATTCTGAAAACATCCTCAATTTCTATAAATTTTGGAGTTTTACATATGAAAAGTTTATGAAATATAAAAACTAAAGGTAACTTAAAATAAAACTTTTGTTGACATTGCTTTAAGAATATTTTTTTAAAATGCAGAAAATAACATGCAAATGTTTTTATTAAGAACAGTGTGATGGCAAAGGAGTACACAAATTTTAAAATAAAACTTCCAGAGACTGATTTTTCAGAAGTGCCTAAGGACTCAATCTTACCACCTCCAAACATTGCAGGTGATGTATAATGAGCACACTAAAGGGCCAAGGAGGAGTGAAATCTGAAACTCTGGTACTGAGACATAGTTCTACCTCCAAAATCCCCATATTAAAAAAAAACCAAAACAGAACAAAAACTCCACCAAATAAATAAATTAAAAAAAATTATCTTATTGGACAAAAGTAATTTCTACAGTACCTTCAGGGGTGATAGCACTAGGACACACATCTTTTAGTAGATCTCCCAAAGTATGCAACTGTCCTCCTGAAGCAATTGGTCGAAATAGCTTCTGTATAAAAGGTCTCTCTGTTGTTGCCTGTTTTAATAACAAAATTAGCAAAAACAACAATTTAAGGACCACGAAATATGTAGAAATACTACCTGAGACAGGCAGAAGATAGCACAGAACAAGAGGTTGCAGGAGGAGAAACTATCTGGCCTGTTTCGTTCCCTCCCCTTGCATTCTATTCATATGAAATGCAGGGGAGTTTTTGTTTGTTTTCAATTGAAAGTAAGTTGACACTCCAGAAAACTGTAAAGATAATTTATAAACAGTGTCATGGATAGAAAAGTGTTAAATTCTTTTTTTTTTTTTTAATTAAAAAACCCACCTTTTGTTACAGGAATAGGATCTGCTTGAACAAAACATTTCACAGAATCACAGAAACACTAGGTT